AACCGTTTGCTTCGGTTCAAGAGACACTTGATCTTCGGGCGGATTGTTAACCCGAGCCTTTTTGTTGGGTCTGGCTTTAGCTCTACAACAGGGAAAGAGGCGAAAGGTTAAACACAACATATCAAGTATGAAACATCAAAAGAAAGGGGCGAAACATTTACCCAACTACGGTCTTGAGAGGAGGGAGTTGGGTCGCTGTTGACTCCCCAGAGGATGAGGGAGGTGTCACCTGATAATTTGAATCGGACGGATTAAGAGGTTGTCGGAAATAACCTGCCTTGGGATAAGAATTGTCAGAAGTGGGTGAGACATCAGATCGGTGCTTTCGAACCGGGATGTCAGGTAAACCGGCCGAAGTGACCTTTTGGTCGCTGTGCCGGGTGGTGCAGCGAGCCTCGTGCTGCTGCGTCTTCAAAATAAATGTTGGATCCAAGTAAGCAAGAGGATGAGAAAAGCTTACTTTCCGGACCGCTTGACGGATTTTTGGTGTTGGCATAGAGTCTGAACCGGAGGAAAGGATAATTACCTCTGCATCGTCAGCTTGACTGCCCTCCACGTCCTCCTGATAAGTATCATTGTCAATGAGATGCATGAAAAGGGAACCAAGTGAATCAAGTTCTACCTCAACTTCCGGTTCATCTGGGTTGTCGTCCAGTTCCATACTGTTGCGTTCAGGTGCTTTCCACTTTGTGGTCTTCTTGACGGCTCTAGTTTTAGGGCGGGAAGTTTTTGCCGCTTTCTCTTGAGGTTTCTTCTTCCAAAATGGATCATCACCCTGTTTAACAATAAAAGGATGGGTAACCAAGGATTGTACAGTCTAAAGATATCAAGGGTAAACCGGAGGAACAATACTCACAGCAGGCGGCTTGTTTTGCGTGTAAAAGGGGAGTAGTCCGGTTTGGCGACAAGTAGCTTCCGGTTCGTTCAAAATTTTCTTAACAGCTTCAGTGACTTCTTCATCTGTTAGCTGGATATTGATATGGCGTTGGGAGTCTTCTACTTCACCAGTATACTCGCACATCAAGCCGGAGCGGCGACTTAATGGTAGGATACTCCAGGATATCCAGCAACGAACGAAGTCTACTCTGGTTAAGCCGTTGGCGAGGAAGGCTCCCAGCTTGGCGAGTTGAGGTGCATACTAAGCCCGTTCCTGGCCACTTAGCCATTGTGGAAGTGGATGAGTATTGGCAAGATGGTGGGCACGGTAGCCCGATAAAGGATTCTCATCTTCAGGGGAGGTGTCTTTACAATAGAACCAAGTTTGATTCCACTCTTTGGGGTGACTATGCAGCTTGGCATGAGGAAATTCAACCTCCTTTCTTTTCTGAATGGTGACGCCGCTGAGTTCAGTATTGGGTCTTTCTACAAATTCAGTGCGCCAGTTCAGATGAAAGAAGTCCCGGAATAGCTCAAAAGTTGGCTCCTCTTGTAGGTACGCTTCACAGAAAACTTGAAAGTTGCATATATTGGATACTGAGTTGGGTCCAATATCTTGAGGGTGGAGTTGAAGGCTGGCAAGTACATCTCGGAAAAACTTTGATCCGGGCGGTTTGAAACCACGGCCTATGTGATCAACAAACACCACTACCTCACCCTGCTTAGGGGTGGGAGGATTTTTCGGTCCAGGAACACGCCACTGGATTTCATTTTTCTTTGGTAAGGTGCCGATCCGGACCATTCCATTCAATTGCTCCTCTGTAACCCTGGAGGGGACCCAGTTGCAGGAATAGAACTGCTTGGCCATTGCAAATGAAAAGCTGAAGAGAAATACCGGTTTACAATTTATTCATAGTGATGCATAAGGTACAATAAAACAGAGAATCCAAGTATATGAAATTGGTAAACCGGAGGCTGATACAATTACAAATGACAACAATAAGCAGAAGCAGAGGTATACACATGCTATTAAACCGAAGTATGATGACGGAGACAAAGGGATTGCCGGTTTACAAGGGGACTAATGGTATATAATAGATTACCTTTTACAAGGGTAAACCGTCTATGTGATGCGGAAGATACAGATCTAAGGCAAAAATGACTAAGTAGGGTAAAACAGGTTTCACAAGATTACATAGAAATTTTGGATCTACCATAAGACAGGAAAAGCAAAATGAGTTGGACCTAAAAAGGTTGGCCCCGAAGAAGTTCACAAAGGTTCAGCTCAGTTTTTGTGCGCATTAGGGTTTGTTGTGATACCGAAAGATTAGGAGTACTATGGCAGCTACACGGAATACATCAAACTTGAGGTTTTTTATCCATGGACTAAGGAAGAACAAAGAAGAACAGGGCCGGAGCTTCGATGAACTTCGATGGACATTGAAACCCTAATGGATCTGCAGGGAAAAGAGGGGAAGTTTACCGCAGCGGTTGAGGTAGCGGTGATGCGCCGCGTTTTTCTGATGCAACCAGGTTGATGCAGCGGCCGGTGACGAAGCAGGGACGAAGTTCGACGGCGGCGGCGACGCTCGAACACAGGGACGTCGCGAGGAGGAAGAAGAGGCGAAGAGGCAGCGGAGGAAAAGGAAAAGGGGCCTCAACCCTATTTACAAAGCGAAGGGATAAGCGACAGGAGCGGGAATTGAGGAGCCCAAAAATGGATAATTAATAGAGTTGTGGCCTCGATGGTTGGATGTTCATTAATAAGGGCATCTTCGGCTTCAACGAATAGATGACGTCATGGTGGTTTACAACGGACATAAAGGATGGCGTCACGGCGGTTTTGAAAGCTCACATGAAGATTCAAAGGAAAGATTTTTTCTAAGTGTTGAAGATTGACATGAACAAGTTCAAATCAATCTGGGGCCTAATGTTGGGGATATTATTACTAGACATAAACCGGCCAGGAGTAGCCGGATTAACTCCATGAAGATTAGAAGCCCATGAAGATGTAAGTATGATGGCGCTTTATAAAGGCCCAAGGCCCAAAGGCGAGTTAAGGCCTGTAGATGTAAACCGGCTTTCTCATGTAACTTGCATTGTAAGATAGGAAGGATAGAGACCGAGCCAGACACGTTTATGATCCGGCCTCGGGACTCTGTAAACCGGCGGGTGTCAACCTGTGTATATAAAGGGACGACCCGGCAGCAGTTTAGGGACGAAAAAAACAACAACTCGAGAGCCAGACAAAGCGGATTCGCTCCCTGGTCATCGAAACCCTAGCAATATCAACTCAATTAGACGTAGGCTTTACCTTCATCGAAGGGGCCGAACTAGTATAAAATCCCCGTATCCCTTGTCCGGTTAAACCCCTTTAAGCTAACTTGTAGCGATGGCTCCACGACTAAGTCCTTTCATGAGGACATCTGCCGTGACAAAACCACGACAATAACCATATAAGGGTTTCCAGACACTTGCTAGGTCAAGTTAGAGCCTATATAGCATGTGGTTATACACTAAGCCAATGGGTTCCATTGAAACGTGGCTGATCCCGTTGAATCTGGCAGCGTTCTTCACCATATTCTGAGCATGTATATGTTATGGTTCTACATCTACTGCAAATGCTCCCATCCTACCACTCTACCCAGATAAGAAGAGAGAGAGAGGGGGGGGGAGATAGTTTCGAAAACACTTTGGCAGACATACATTTTTGCCCACCCCGATACAATACGTAGCATAGTGCCGATCAACATACATCATAAATATTCCTAGGGTGACAAAAGGTAGCATAGCTTGAAAATACTAAGATTCCACTACTAGGCCACAACTATAGCAAAATTACCAAACTTGCAAAATGCTTTTATGAAAACATTGTGAATCCGGAGGTTACACTACTAGAGCATAAAAATAGTTAATGAAAACCGATAGAAAGAAAAGGTACAAAATGAAAAACAGCAACAAAGAACAATTTAAATGAATGAAATCGACTGGTTAAACTAAGAAGAATGATGCGAGCATGTCAGGTCATGCAACACGTAGTGCAACGGTGACATTCGTGCATGACTGTGATTTGGATTGTATGCATTTTCTTTACCAACAAGCAACGAGCAATTATGTTAAAGAATTGAAAGAGCAATCAACGAGCAACAATTTCGCATTTGAAATTGAGCAGAATGCCCCATGGAGGAAGGTTGAGTGTTACTGTCAAGAAGGGGATTTGCACTTAATACAATCACCATATACCTACGGGTTGTAAAGCCGGATGTCTGTACCCTAAAAAAAAGCCGGATGTCTGTAAATTCCTTCCATATCCCAAATATAAGAATGGGGGTAATACGAACTGTCACTATGATGTGTCTACGCGTTTTCAACCAATTTAACAAACTTTCAATGTTTTATTTCACCCATGTTTTCCATTCACGTCGAAACTTCTCAACTTTCCATGGTCAAAGTCAGCCGCGAAATTTCCACGATCATTTCTCTACTCCCTGTATCCTTCAAGAATACGTACGCTTATACGTTAGTTGCGTATAAGCCCGAGCGCCTGCGACCACGTCAGCCGGTTCTTCCCGGTTAAGTAACATTAGAGTAACAATTGCCGGGCCCCTAATCACAGCGGATCTGACTGCGCGCAAGATAGAGAC